TCAGAGGCAGTTGGTGGCCGGCACCACCTGTCTTCCCTGCTGTGTGGTGAGAGGCTAAGGAAACGGAGAGGGAATGATAGCAGCAAACACACACAAATCTCAGGAAATGCCTATATTGTCCCCCAAAATTCATATACTGAATCCCTCAATATGATTGTACTTAGAGATACAGCCTTTGAAAGACAATTAAGGTAAAATGCAGTCATAAGCTTGGGACCCTAACCTGACAGCACTGGTGGTTATGAGAAATACCAGAAAATCTCTCTCCCCCAACTATGTGCATGTACACAAACACACACATACACACACACACAGAGAGAGAGAGAGAGAGGAAACACCACGTCAGACCTTGTTGTGAAGTCCCAGCTACAAGTCAGGAAGAGAACCCTCATAAGAACCAACTTCCTAGCACTTCGATCTTGGATTTTCTGCCTCCGCCTACTAGAAAACATATTTCTGCTCACCCCCTAGTGTGTGGGATTTGGTGACGGCAGCTCGAGCAGACCAAGGCAACTTCCAAACCAAACTCCAGGCAACTCTCCCCCTTCAGTCTCAGACATACAGCTTTAGGCGGGGCTGGTGACAGCGTATATTCATGTACTCATCCATGATGTTCAGTGACTGTTCTGAGCCAGTCATGTTTCTGGGCCTGGGGATCATTTCATGCAATCAGAGAAAAAACTGCTTTCCTGATGCTTCCATCTAACAGGAAGACAGACAACCAATGAGAACATCACAAGAGGAGTAAAGTGTGATATGTGTTGTTGTCTATCACTTGGTAACAAACAATCCCCCAAATAAAATCATCTTTTGTTCTCCCCTTTCTGCGGGGTGACAGGGTCAGTGGGCAGCTTTTCTGCTCCACATGCACAGGCTAGGGGTGCAGTGCCCGGAACATCAGGAGGGTGCCTCCCAGGAAGACAGGGGGTGCAGGCTGTGGGCTGGGGCTCACTGGGGCTACTGCATGGTTTGGCTGTTCCCAGCTCAGCTCCTGGGCTCCAGAAGGGAGTGTTCCATGTGGATAAGTCAGACCCCACAGGGGATCTGGTGTCAGAACTTCAGATTCAAAAAGTGTCACTGTCCCAAAGCTCTTCAAAGATGAAGGGGAGGGAGGGTGGTCACACCCTAGGTAGGCGGTGGTGGCGTCACACTGCGGAAGGGGATGTGGGGTGGGCATTGTTAAGCCCGTCTTGGGAAAAGGCCCCTGTACAGTATGTCAGAAAGTGACAGGAGATAGAGGAAAACTCCTGCAGGAGGGACACCCAAGGCAAGCAGATGGGAGGAGCACTGGCAAATAGGGTTGTCAGGGCGGGCCTCACTGGGCAACAGTTGAGTGAAATTGAAGCAGGAGAGACTGAGGCACAGGGACTTGCAGGGATGCCTTCCTGGGTTGCCTCTGTGTGTACAAAGCTGCAAGGGGCAGGCACTAAGCTGTGGTGGGAATGGAGGGGCTCAGTTAGCCAGACTCCTGCAGGAAGCTGGGGGGACCCATTCCTGCTCTGCCCTCAGAGCCCTGGGTTGGGGAGGAGAAGGCATTGCTGTGGGAGGAAGTTGAGGGGGGAGGGGAAGAGAGCTGCAGTAGGCAGCTCACTCAGTCTCTAGTTTCTCTCCTGTGGCCAGGGTGGTGGTGACTGCCTTGAGGATCCTGTGGCTATCACACTGGGGGGGGCTGGGCATTTGATGAGGGCACTTCCCCCCTGACACTCATAGCCACCATCTAATCATGAGAAAATTTCAGACAAATTCGAATGAGTGACATCGTACAAATTATCTGTCCAGTACTCTTCACAACTTTCAAGGTCATGGAAACAGGTAAGAACTTAGAAACTCAGAAGATTGGTTTCCATAGAGACAGAGACAAGAGGGACACAACTTGAGGTGGCTGGATTGGATCGTGGAATGGAGAAAGGGCATGAGTAGAAAAACGGGTGAAATCCAAAACAGGTCTATAGTTCAGCTAATGGTGTTATACATGCTGGCTTCTTGGTCTCAGCATAGCTTTGTTAGATATTACATTAAGAGAAACTGGGTGACACCTACTGGGAGAAAATTTTGCACCCAACACTAATGATAAAGGACTGATCATAAAAATCTACAAAAGAGCTGATGAGACTCAACAAAAACAAAGAAAATAATCCAGTCAAAAAAGGGCAGAAGAGCTAAAAAGAAACTTCTCCAAAGAGGAAATGCAAATGGCCAAACAGGCATATGAAAAATGTTCAACATCACTTGTCATCAGGGAAATGTAAATCAAAACTACCATGAGATACCATCTCACACAGTGAGAATGGCACATATTAAAAAAACTAGCAACAACAAATGTTGGTGAGGATGTGGAGAAAAAGAAACTCTCCTGCACTGCTGGTGGGAGTGCAAACTGGTCCAGCCACTATGGAGAGCTGTGTGGAGATTCCTCAAACTGCTAAAGATAGAGCTTCCATATGATCCAGCAATTCCACTCCTAGGTATTTACCCAAGAACACAGAAACATCAATTCCAAAGAGCACCTGCACCCCTATGTTTATAGCAGCACTATTTACAATAGCTAAGCTTTGGAAACAATCCAAATGCCAAAAATAGATGACTGGATCAAGAAGATGTGGTACATATACACAGTGGAATATTACTCAGCAATCAAAAAAGACAAACACATGCAATTTGCAGCAACATGGATGGAGCTGGAAGGGATCATGCTCAGTGAAATAAGCCAGAAAGAAAAAGAAAAATACCAGATGGTCTCACTCATAGCAGGAATCTAGAAAACCTAAATAAGGGACCAGGAAAAAGAATAACTATAAGAAAGAAAAAATCAAAATCAACAAACAAATATGAACTAGAGACACACTATGGGGGGCTTGGGGAAAGGGGGATACGGGTCAAAATAAGGGGGTTGCAATTGTATGGGGAGCATAAAAAATAATAATAATAAAATAAATAAAAAGAAAGATAAGTCATTCAAATATAATTATCAAGAATTTTTTAGAATGAAAAAATACATTTAGTTACATGCCTTTCATTCTGCCTTGTTTACTTGGCTTTTGTGATGATATAGCAACAACTGATTTAAAATAAACTATTGTTCTTAATGTGAAAAAAAAAAAGAGAAACTGGGTGAAAGGTGTAAGTGAACTCTGTGCTAGCTTCACAACATTTCTGTAAATCTACTGTGATTCAAAAAATAACTTTAAAAGTGAAATTAGGCCTCCCTGGTGGTGCAAGGGCTTATGTCTCAGCCCTGTGCAGCTATGGGCCACCAGAGCAGCACAAATTTGATCCCGGCCAGGGAGCCACCCGCATGGCGCAGCAGACCTTTCCTGCCTCGCCAATGCTCCCTCAGCAGTGGATCTGCCTGTTCTGCTCCCCACTCTGTCTCTGGTGGTCTCTCACCCACCCAGCCTGGCACCTCTGGCCTATACCCCATTTCTTATGCAAAATAAATAAAATTTTATGTTTTTTTATTTTTATATTCCTCATACAATTGCAACCCTTACAAAATAGATAAAAAATTTTTTTGAAAGTTACAGGGCTTCTTTTTCCTCTGCAAAGTAGGAACCTATCAGGTAGTGGGAGAACACAAGATCTTGACCTCACCTAAATAAGCTTCAAACCGCAACCCCCCGCACCCCCCTCTTCCCCCCCCCCCGCCACATACAGAAGCACTGACCGGCCTCCAGGAGGGTCACCCTCCAAGTTCCTTGATCCCCTCCCACACACATCCCCCCATGGCAAAAGCCATCTTCCCATTCTGTAGCAACGTGTCCCAGGCAGCGAGCTGGTTAGCAGCTGCCCGCCCCAGCAATCCTGCCTTCTGAGGCCCGCTTTTCTGTGATCCTGCAGGGGACCAGCCTCCCTCAAAATGTCCTGTCAGGGTTCCTGAAAGGATGAGACCTCCTTGGCGAATACGAATGATCTGAAACTTAGGGACTGAGGGGAAGGGAATGAGAAGACACCTGACACTTGGTGAGGTGTTAGTATCTTCTGCCGAGAGGCTCAGCAGGTTCTTTATTTATACATTTTTTGCAAGCATTGAGATGACATTATCAAGTGCATAGAAACAAAGCAGAAACAATTAGTGCATCTCCCTTTCCGTGCTCTCAGCAAAAAGGCAACCTTCAAGGTTAATAAAAGACTAAGTCTTACACTAAAATTCATTGTTTCAGCCAAACAATAACCTAAGACAATTGATAGCCACCGGAACATCCCATCAACTAAGCCTAAGCAAAGAAAGAACTTTTTCTTATTCTCATGGCCTTCACACCAGGGGCCGGCTGCTACTCAGCTATCAGAACTTCCTCTACCTAGAAACTCCTTAATGCAAATAGCTTCATTTAAGAACTTCCCAAGAAACTTCAAGGGAAGGCAAAAAAGGACTTAGAATAATAATTGTATTGTAATGCTTGTCAGGCATGTTCAATAACTTGTCTCCCATTGTCAAGTGGGCCAAATTGTTTAATAATTAGTTTTTAAGAGATAATTTTCCGTGCTGTTTATTTACTGTATACTGATGCATATAATGTAGCGCCTAATGTACTTTTTGGGAAATTTTTCTCCTTTTATGACCAAGAACAAAAAGTGAAGGGCTGTTAGATCTTCAGCCCCACAGTGTGAGGCGCAAGGAATCTTCGGCCCCACGGTGTGAGGCCCTTTGAGCTTCGCTGCTTGCTAGTAGTTTTATCTGGCTGGGGCTACAAGGCCTCTTGCAGCAACTCCTTTTCCTGGCGATCAAAGCTGGAGCCCCCACTCCCTCTGCACCACCCCTGCCCTCAGCAGTGTGACTGTGCGCTCCAGCCCCTGCAGGACACGCTGCAGAAGCCTGCCCTGCACACAGGCTCACACATGTGGGTGTAGACAGGGCTTTGGTTCCAGCACCGGAGCTGAAGGGAGAGCTCGCTACCTCAACAAAGCTTGTGCCAGACGCAACAGCACCAGGAGATGGTGCCGGAGGATCAGACGTGGTGCACAGCTCTCAGAGGAGGCCGCAGACAGGTGAGCAGTGATGGTCAGCAGGCATGGGTGCCAGAGATGCCATTGGTACCAACAGCAAACAGCCTTCGAGAGGCCGGGCATAAGCCACCAGCAAACAGCTCCTTTAGAAACACCAGGGACAGACTGACGATGCTCTCTGCAGGCGGTGTCAGAGGCAGGGCCAGAGGGAGTTGTAGTGATCACGTCTCTGGAAAGGCCTCAAAGGTATATTGAGGTCTCGAAGTCTGCAGAGGTCTTTACAAAGATCTTTCTAGGAGTACTTACAAATCTGACCTGCAGATGGCTCAAGCTGGCTGCTGCTCTGGCTTATAAACTCTTCAAGCTTGATCAGTCCCTTTATAATCCCAGCTGTTTGGTTGGTGCCAGTTGAGCTCCAATCAGATGGGTCCATGTAGAGCTCTGAATGATCTTGTAAACCTTCAATGGTACCTGTGAAAGCTCGAATCTAACTGGTGCTTTTACAATTCTGGCACTGTATTCATAAATGAAACACCTGCTAGTGTGTCCATATCTGAAGTCAGGTAGTCCCACCCTGGAGTGCAGGCCGCTGTCACTCAGAGCACATTGGGTGGGTCCACAGGCTGCACACAGTGAGGTCCCCTCTCCCCACGGCATCAGGGATCACAGTGGGAGTGGGCTTCAGCAGGGCCAGATACTCACCTGAGCACCAAGTCATCTCTCTATCACAGCCCACCAGGTCGGTCTCCCACCTTCCACAGCACAGCCAAGGCCAAAGCTGCCAGAGCTCAGGGATGCCCACAGGCTGCACGCTGAGCTTGGGGCCTGGTACACCATGGGCATCTCTCCTCATAGCTTGTGTCAAACCTTGCTGCCAAGCAGGCCTCAGCGAAGCCGATCACACCACACTGATTGCACCAGGTTGCAGGGATCCTCATTTAATGTAGCTACTGGAAAATGGCCACTGGCCAATTCTACCCTCAGAGGGCAATCTGTCACCAGAGGACAAACCCACTGGGGCTGCTGTTCCTCTTGGGTGGCTCCTGGCAGCATGGACAGCATGTGGCCCTTAATGGGTCTGAGAGTGACTCGGCTGTGACAGGCCTGGCAAAAGCTGTGGCCACAGGAGCTATTCCCTGGGACCCTGCATCCAGGCAGATGCTGCAGGTTCCCTCTGCCAGGAGGGTCCAGTCCAGAGTTCATGACTGTCCCTCAAGGTAAGTGAGGAAGGGGAACAAATGGAGGGCAGAAGAGACAGTCAGGGTTGAGGTGACCACACCTGCCCTGGTCAGGCTACAGGAGCCTCCTCCCTGCCACGCACACTTTCACCCTCTCCAGTCTCTGCTCCCCACGGCGCCCCAGGCCTTTCTCAACATGGTCCCTCACCTGCCTTCTCTGCTCCCCACACCTGGCAGGGAGGGCTCACAGGGCCTGGCATCACCTCCACTTTCTCTCCCACCCACCTGCCTCCATCACCAGAGCAACATCAGGAGGAATTTTTAAAATTTGACTTATCAATAGTAAGATGGCCTAGGCAGATAGTGAGGCGCCCGTCACTAAGAGGACCCATTCTGGATGTTTCCAGTGGATTTGACCATATTGAGGTCTCATCCTCCTCAGCTCAGAGACCCTTCCTCACTGCAGTTGCCACAGCAGGGGACCCCTGGGTGGTCAGAACCCTGGGTCCCTGCTGTGTGACCTGGGCTGAGCTTCTGAGTCTCACTCCCACAGTCATTACTTATGCTGGGATCATGGGATCTGACAATGCACAGAGTGTCGTGGGTTAAACTGAACTATCCATGCAAATGTTTGTCTTATTTTCATTGTTGGAGTTTTCTCCATTTTTTTTGTTTGTTTGTTTGCATCATGAAAACTCAATTTCTCCCTCTCCCAGTTTTTTTTTTTTTTTGTATGTGTGTGTGATTGCACAGCATTGTTACAGCAACAACAAAAATAAGAACTTTTATAAGTAAAAATCTTACCTCCAATCCCAGCAGCAAACACCATAATGATACTTACCTTTCTGTGCTCTCCTCAGTGTGGCCATGAATACAAGGACATTCATCCTAAACTCTATAGTGGGGAGAGACTTGGGGGAACCAAGCTGTGTTTACCTGAGATCCTCTCCCTGCTGCACATGGAGGGTTACCCTGGGGAGATGGGAGAGCCCCAGAATGAGAAAGAAACAATTCACCCCCTCAAACATTACACTTTCCTCCAGGAGCTGAGATAGACCCTGCTCCATCTCTCCCTCCCTTCCTGGATTGTGGACAAAGGCTCAGCTCAGGAACTGGGTGACCTGGGCTAATCCTGCCCCTGGACCAGGCCAGCAGGGCACACACTCCTCCCTCCCCCTGTGGGACTCCAGCTCTGGTCTAGAGAGAAAGAAGCTGCAGCCATGATGCTCCCTGACCTTGAGGCCTGTGGGTTTTTGCAGTGACTCCAAAGGTTTGTGCAGTGACACACATACAAAAAAAAAAAAAACTGGGAGAGGGAGAAATTGAGTTTTCATGATGCAAAAACACAAACAAACAAAAAATGGAGAAGAATGTTGGGGACTGGGGTAGGGAGCTGTCAGGGGTGAAGGTGCCACCACATCCTAGCAGGGCCCTGGAGGGGGCATCCTGCCATTTCCTTACACCTCAAGCCAACAGTGAGTTATTTCTAAACTTCCTCCTCTTCTTCAGGTCCAATGTATTTCAGTCCTGCTCAAAACTGCTTCTCCGTGGAACTGTATTTTCTGAGGTATTGTTCTGACACTCTTTACTCTGTGTGCGATTTGATTTCATTTATTCTCGGCTTGATGTTAATTGACTTCCCATCATCTTATGTTGTGTATCCTGTCTCTCCTGTTACACACACACACGCACACACACACACACATACTCCCCTCTCCTTGGGAACCAGACCCTCACTCAGCACTGGGGTTACTCTGACCCTCTGTCTCTGGTCCCCTCAGAGCCGCCCTCTCTGCAGTGTCTCTACTCAGCGGTGTCTGAGCAACCCCAGAAGTCCCTGCACCTCCTGCCTCTGCCCTTGTGGGAAACCACCCTTCACCCTTCATGACAGTGAGGGGCAAGGCAAAGTCCTGAGGTCAGTGATGGATGAAGAGGACAAGTTACTTTTTTCCTTTTGCTTAAGACTTTTCTTTTTCCCCTCATTGTATTATTCAGTTGAGGCAACACTGGTTTACACACTTTATGTATTAGAGGCACAGGGTCACACCTCTTCAGATGTTCATTATCACTTCCCACCCACTTAAGGGCACCCATAGTCCTCCACCATAGTCCATTGGGCCCTCTTCCTATCTTGTTTCCTGTCTCACCCCCCCCCCATAGCTTCAATTCTGCAGTCATATTTCTAGATTGTTTTGGTTTAGTTTCATCTGTCCCTGCTGTGTTTCCTTATATTCCACATATGAATGAAATCATCTAGTATTTAACATTCTCCTTCAAACTATTTCACTTAGTATCATCCCGTCCATATCTATCCATGTTGTTGCAAATTCAATATTTCATCTTTTCCACAGCTCAGTAGTATTCCACTGTGTATATTCACAGTGGAATATACTTATATTCCATAAGTAATATTCCACTTGTGTCCTTTATCCCCTCATCTGCCATTGGGCACTTAGGTTGTCTCCATCGCTTGGTTATGGTAGACAGCTCTGCAGTGACCATAAGAGGTACCTATTCCTCAGAATTAGCATTTTACCTTCTTTGGATAAATACCAAGGAATGGAATGCTTGACCATGGGACAGTCTATTTTGAATATTTTGACGAACCATTAGTTGTTCTCCACAGGGGCAGGACTGTACCCATGTGATATCCATAGAAAAGAGAGGTTTCAGGTGTGCTGCCCTGCCCAAGGAACAGTGGGGCTGAGCAGGGGTGAGAAGCTGAGGAAGAGGAGAAGAAGATGTGGAGCAAGATGGGGAAAGAAGACTGGAGGAGGCAGCAGGAACAGAAAGACATGTGAAGAAGAAGCCAGGCTTGCTCCTCAGGCTTGGACTTGTGCCAGGGCGTTGGGGACATGGATAGAGACACGGGAAAGAAACAAAGACGTGGGTGAGAGGCCCAGGGGAGGCTGACAATGGCAGCTGCTATCTTGATGTGGATTTTGATTTTGCTCTTGTCCTTCCAGACTTGCCTGGCCCCTCCTGCCCCTGTCCATGGGTCTCTACCAGTAGGTGCCTTAGACTTGTGGCAGGTTTTCGGGCCTCAGTGGGCCTGCTTTGGGCCGAGCCTGTTTGGTTGGGAATTTACCCATGAGGGGGAGGGTTGCTGCAGGGGGCCTTGCTGCCCCAGCCAGGTAAGACACTGGCAAGCAGCTAAGAAAAATGGCCTCACACCCGTGGGGCCGAAGATTTCCAAAGAGCCTCACACCGTGGGGCTGAAGATTAATCTATAACCTATAAGCATCGCTTTGTTTTTTGTTCTTGGTCATAAAAAGAGAAAACCTCTCAGAAAATAATTGGGCAATACAGTATATGTATAAGAATATTATAAAGCACGTGGCATGGACAATTACCTATTAAACACGCCTATCTGATAATGGGAAAAGAGTTTGTTGTACATAAACATGCCTGACAAGCAACCCAGGACAATTGTTATAGTAAGTCCTTCTTTTGCCTTTTTTGAAAAGTTTCTTAGGAAAGTTTTTAAAGGAAGTTAATTGTGTTAAGACATTTCTAGGTAAAAATCCCTGTTAGCTGATAACCAAAAGCACCTGGTCTCTGGCTGAAGGCCATATGCATAGAAGAGTCTTTGGATGCTTAGGCTTTAGCTGATAGGGGTATAGTGGCAGCTATCCACTATTTTAGATAATTGTCTAGCTGAAATAATGAGTTTAGTGTAATGTTTTGTTTTGTTTTTTGTTTTTTAAAGATTTATTTATTTATTTATTTATACATGCACTGGGTACAGGCAGAAGCACGGAAGGGTGAGAGAATTCATCAGAGCAAGAGCGGGGAGCAGAGCAGGCAGAAGACCGAAGCACACTGCTGAGGGGAGCAGCGGGCGGCAGGAGAGGTCTGAGCGCCTTTTGGGACTTTCAACCCGGTGGCCGGGGATTCAAACTGGTCATGCAGAGGCTGCGGGCAGCTGCGCAACCCAGCGCTCAACCGCTGCACCACTGGGGAGGCCCTAAGGCTTAGTTTTTTTATCTATTAACCTTGA